CCCCTTTCATTGCCCCAACACTCACACTCTGCCTTGGGCACCCCTGTGCACCCCCCGACCTGCAGCCCCCCCTCCTGGGGGGCACATGTGTCCCACTGCAGGCAGGGACTGCCCCCATCCCCCAGTGTCACCCCAACGTCCCCATGGTGGCCCCAGAGCCAGCTGGGTGGCGCAAGGCTGTGGTGGTGACATGTGGCCCTGTCACCCCTATAAGGGGGACAATGGGCAGAGCTCCCCAGAGCCTCCAGGTGAGGATGGGGACAGGGACATGGAGGGGGACATCAGAGTGGGCTCAGCCCCTGGCTGCTGGGGTGGGGACCAGAGGTGGGCATCCCTGAGGCTGGGACCATGGTGTCAGGGGGACACAAGGGGTCTCTGGGATGCCAGGAGTACATGGGAGTGTCACAGGGGATGGTGGAGGGACAGTGGGGATATGGGGTACAGAGGGGCAGGGTGGGATGAGGGACACAAAGTGGGACTGGGGGTGGCAGAAGGACAGTGGGGACATGGGGGATGGCAGAAGGGCCACAGAGAGAACAGATTGTTACCAAGGGTGGCAGAGGGGCTCTGGACTATGGTGGGGGGTGGTCAAGGGTGACAGGGCTGAGGCATCTCCAGAGAATGCTGGTGGTGTCCTCAGTGTCCCACTGCCATGTGGCCCTGCCTGCTGCTCGCTCTGGCCCTCCTGGGCACCGTCCCTGCCAGTCACCCTGGTGAGTGTCCCCCTGCCCCAGTGAGTGTCCCCCACAGCCCTGCCCGCCCCCAGGAACACCCTGGGATGTCCCTGCCACCCCAGTGCCATGCCCACCCCACTGACACCACATGCCTGGGGCTGGCAGAAGGACCCCTGGTACCTGTCCTCGGCCCTGCAGCCCCCCGCCAGCTGCAGGGGGTCCCTGCTGCTGAGAGCTCCCCGCTGTACTACACCGTGGTGAAGAAGCTGCGCACCTATGCCAAAGCCCAGGTGAGGGGATGGGGGGCGCGGGGGGTGCAGAGGGTACCCAGCACTGCCCGCAGGTGCCCGTGGGCACAGGTGAGTGCCTGGTGCCAGCCCGTGCCCGTCCCACAGCGCTACTGCCAGGACGTGTACCGGGGTCAGCTGGCCTCGGTGCACAGCGCTTCCCGCAACCAGGAGCTGCGCAAACTAGCACGAACCTACAAAATCATCATCTCACCCTGGATCGGAGCTGTCACCAGCAAAAGGGTGAAGGGACAACGGGGACAAGGGGCTGCCAAAGGGGTGCTGGGTGCTGGCTAGGAGACCAGCTGGGGGCTGCTTTGGGGGGTGAGGGACTGGGGTGCAGGGTGCTGGGGCTGCTTTGTGGGGGACGAGCCTGGACATGGCATACTGGGGCTGGAGGCTGGGTTTGGAGGCATGAGGGGCTGGGTATTGGCTGCTGGGGCTGGTTTTTGGGGTCGAGGGGCTGGGTAGGGGTGGTGGGGGCTGCCACTGGGGACTGAAGTGTTGGCACAGCAGGCAGGGAACTGGGAGTCCTGCTGGGAGGACTCCAGCCCCTGGAACTACGCGAACTGGGCGCCCACCCAACCCTTGCACATTGTCACCACCTGCACCACCCTCAGTGTCCGAGGTAAGGTCGCCCACCCACTGTGTCCAGGCTTGGGTTAGGGTTGGGGAGGGGAGCACAGGCTACTGGGGCATTGGAGGAACACTGAATACTGTGGAGAGGGGGCTACAGGGCACTGGGTGAACTGAGGCGGGCACTGAGGGCAGTGGGAGGGGCACTGGGAGGGGTTACAGGGCACTGGGGGAGCTAAGGCAGGGATATAGGGGGCACTGGAAGTGGTTGCAGGGTACTGGGGGGCTCCAGGAACCACCCATGGCCCTGACACTGTCCTTGTCCCCAGATGGGCTCTGGAGAAGCCGCTTCTGCCTCCAGCTGCGCCCCTTCATCTGCCAGTACTGAGCCCCCAGTGCTGCCATGGCACCCCAGCTCCTTTCCCAATAAAGCAGAGGTGCCCTGAGCTGTGTCTGTGTGCACCATGGGCCTGGGGACAGTGCTGGGGGGTTGTGGGGGCAGCACGGCAAGTGGAGGGGGGCAGCGATGTTTATTATCCCCGACCCCACTGGCACAGCACCCCAAGGCTGCTACAAAAATGGTGTGCTGGCTGTGGGGCTCAGTGTGGGGTCTCGGCGTGGATCTCGGTGCTGGGGGGTGCTGCCAGGGGGGCGCCAGCCATCCCCAGCTCCTTGGCTCGCCGCTGGCACTCGCGGGCCACCACCACAGGGCTGACAAAGGCCACCAGCACCACGGCGATGAGCCCCAAGTTCATCTGCAGAGGGGAAGAGTGTCAGGGCAGGGGGCTGGGGGGCTGCCCTCCCTCATCCCCTGTGTTAGGCCAGGACACTTGGAGCAGCACCTCCATTTCCCCGGGAGCAGGGCACCCATCCCTCTCTGGTACAGGACCCTCATTTCTCATGGCATAAGACCTCATCATTCCATCCCTGCTGGGGCAGCATCCCCATTTTCTCATGGACAGGACTGGGATCCCCATTTTCCCATGGGATGAGACCCCCATTTTCCCATGTGGCAAGACCCCTTCCCTCCCAGGGC